ATGGTATATACTGACCATGCTGCTTACTATATTTTCATTCATCTTTACTATCCATGAATATGGTATATTTAACCTGATTGGTGGTTTGGAACAGTTTTTATTTTTCAAAAAATCTTGGGAATATTCATCCCAACTGACTTTCATATTTTTCAGAGGGGTAGGTCAACCACCAACCAGAGGGTATCCCATATATAGTGACGGACAATCACTTAGAACGTAAAATTTTTCCATTTTTTTTCGTACTTAGAACGTAGCAAAATTTCATCACTTAGAACGTAGGGAAAATTCATCACTTAGAACGTCAAAATATCACTTAGGCCCATTTATCACTTAGAACGTAAACCAACACTTAGAACGTGCTAAGTGATTGTCCGTCGCTATATAAACTATTTTTTTGATTTCAAAATCAATTAAACTTCCTTATATAACACAATGAAAAATATTGCCAAAAATTGGATTTCGAAGCGGACCCTAATAATAAATTTAAACGCTTAATAAGAAAGACTATGTTTTCGATTTCAAATCAGTGAAATTTCCTTATATAACGCAATTAAAATATTGCCAAGAATTGGATTTCGAAGCGGATCCTAATAATAAATTTAAACCCTTAATAAAAAAAACAAGTTTTTTCGATTCAAAATCAATTAAATTTCCTTTTATAACGCAATTAGACTATTGCCAAAAATTAGATTTCGAAGCGGACCCTAATAAATTTAAACCTTTAATAAAACAAAACTATTTTTTTTCGATTCAAAATCAATCAAATTTCCTTGTATAACGCAATTGAAATATTGCCACAAATTGGATTTCGATGCGGACCTAAATAATAAATTAAAACCCTTAATAAGAAAAACAATTTTTTTCGATTTCAATTTAAATATTGCCAAAAATTGGATTCCGAAGCGGACCCTAATAATAAATTTAAAACCTTAATTTTAAAAAACTTTTGTTTTCACTTTCGAAATCAATTGAATTTCCTTTTATAAAACGCAATTGAAATATTGCAGAAAATTGGAATTCGCAGTGGAATCGAAATTATGTCTATGTTTCCTACGGAATTAGCTGCTGAATCCAACCCTTAGAACGTCAGAACCCCCAAAAAGCACCAAAGAGTATACCGTTCCACAGATAAAAGATCGCCAATATTTGCAAATCATATGGGAGGGAAAAGCCAAATGGTACGAAATTATGTCTATGTTTCCTACGGAATTAGCTGCTGAATCCAACACTTAGAACGTCAGAACCCCCAAAAAGCACCAAAAGGATCCAAAAGGTAGAGTGTTCCAGAGATAAAAGATCGCCAATGTTTGCAAATCATATAGGAGGGAAAAGCCAAATGGTACGAAATTATGTCTGCGTTTCCTACGGAATTAGCTGCTGAATCCAACGCTTAGAACGTCAGAACCACCAAAAAGCACCAAAAGGTATAGTGTTCCAGAGGTAAAGACCGCCAAGATTTGCAAATCATATGCGAGGGAAAAGCCAAATGGTACGAAATTATGTCTATGTTTCCTACGGAATTAGCTGCTGAATCCAACACTTAGAACGTCAGAACCCGCAAAAAGCACCAAAATGATCCAAAAGGATCCAAAAGGTAGAGTTTTCCAGAGATAAAAGATCGCCAATATTTGCAAATCATTTGTGAGGCAAAAGCCAAATGGTACGAAATTATGTCTATGCTTCCTACGGAACTAGCTGCTGAATCCAACACTCAGAACGTCAGAACCTCCAAAAAGCACCAAAAGGATCCAAAAGGTATAGCGTTCCAAAGATTAAAAAAAACGCCAATATTTGCAAATCATATAAAAGGGAGAAGCTAAATGGTACGAAATTATGTCTATGTTTCCTACGGAATTAGCTGCTGAATCCAACACTTAGAACGTCAGAACCCCCCAAAAAGCACCAAAAGGCATAGTGTTTCAGAGATAAAAGATCGCCAATATTTGCAAATCATATGGGAGGGAAAAGCCAAATGGTACGAAATTATGTCTATGTTTCCTACGGAATTAGCTGCTGAATCCAACACTTAGAACGTCAGAGCCCCCAAAAAGCACCAAAAGGATCCAAAAGGTATAGTGTTCCAGAGATAAAGACCGCCAAGATTGGCAAATCATATGGGAGGGAAAAGCCAAATGGTACGAAATTATGTCTATGTTTCCTATACGGAATTAGCTGCTGAATCCCACACTTAGAACGTCAGAACCCTCAAAAAAGCACCAAAAGGTATAGTGTTCCAGAGGTAAAGACCGCCAAGATTGGCAAATCATATGGGAGGGAAAAGCCAAATGGTACGAAATTATGTCTATGTTTCCTACGGAAGTAGCTGCTGAATCCAACACTTAGAACGTCAGAACCCCCAAAAAGCACCAAAAGGATCCAAAAGGCATAGTGTCCCAGAGATAAAGAACGCCAATATTTGCAAAACATATGGAAGGGAAAAGCCAAATGGTACGAAATTATGTCGATCTATGTTTCCTACGGAATTAGCTTCTGAATCCAACACTTAGAACGTCAGAACTACCAAAAAGCACCAAAACATATAGCGTTCCAGAGATAAAAGATCGCCAATATTTGCAAATCATATGGGATGGAAAAGCCAAATGGTACGAAATTATGTCTATGTTTCCTACGGAATTAGCTGCTGAATCCAACACTTAGAACGTCAGAACCTCCAAAAAGCACCAAAAGAATCCAAAAGGCATAGTGTTCCAGAGATAAAAGATCGCCAATGTTTGCAAATCATATAGGAGGGAAAAGCTAAATGGTACGAAATTATGTCTATGTTTCCTATACGGAATTAGCTGCTGAATCCAACACTTAGAACGTCAGAACCCCCAAAAAGCACCAAAAAGTATAGTGTTCCAGAAGTAAAGACCGCCAAGATTGGCAAATCATATGGGAGGGAAAAGCCAAATGGTACAAATTATGTCTATGTTTCCTACGGCTTAGAACGTCAGAACCCCCAAACAGCTCCAAAGGGTATACTGCTCCAGAGATAAAAGATCGCCAATGTTTGCAAATCATATAGGAGGGAAAAGCTAAATGGTACGAAATTATGTCTATGTTTCCTACGGAATTAGCTTCTGAATCCAACACTTAGAACGTCAGAACCCCCAAAAAGCACCAAAAGGGATAGTGTTCCAAAGATAAAAGATCGCCAAGATTTGCAAATCATATGGGAGGGAAAAGCCAAATGGTACGAAATTATGTCTATGTTTCCTATACGGAATTAGCTGCTGAATCCAACACTTAGAACGTCAGAACCCCCAAAAGGCACCAAAAGGATCCAAAAGGTATAGTGTTCCAGAGATAAAGTCGCCAATGTTTGCAAATCATATAGGAGGGAAAAGCTAAATGGTACGAAATTATGTCTATGTTTCCTGCGGAATTAGCTGCTGAATCCAACACTTAGAACGTCAGAACCCTCAAAAAAACACCAAAAGGTATAGTGTTCCAGAGGTAAAGACCGCCAAGATTGGCAAATCATATGGGAGGGAAAAGCCAAATGGTACGAAATTATGTCTATGTTTCCTACGGAACTAGCTGCTGAATCCAACACTTCGAACATCAGAACTCAGAACCCCCAAACAGCACCAAAGGGTATACTGCTCCAGAGATAAAAGATCGCCAATGTTTGCAAATCATATGGAAGGGAAAAGCCAAATGGTACGAAATTATGTCTATGTTTCCTACGGAATTAGCTTCTGAATCCAACACTTAGAACGTCAGAACCACCAAAAAGCACCAAAAAGTATAGTGTTCCAGAAGTAAAGACCGCCAAGATTTGCAAATCATATGGGAGGGAAAAGCCAAATGGTACGAAATTATGTCCATGTTTCCTATACGGAATTAGCTGCTGAATCCAACACTTAGAACGTCAGAACCCCCAAAAAGCACCAAAAGGTATAGTGTTCCAGAAATAAAAGATCGCCAATGTTTGCAAATCATTTGTGAGGGAAAAGCCAAATGGTACGAAATTATGCCTATGTTTCCTAAGGAATTAGCTGCTGAATCCAACACTTAGAACGTCAGAACCCGCAAAAAAAGCACCCAAAAGTATAGTGTTCCAGAAGTAAAGACCGCCAAGATTGGCAAATCATATGGGAGAGAAAAGCCAAATGGTACGAAATTATGTCTATGTTTCCTATACGGAATTAGCTGCTGAATCCAACACTTAGAACGTCAGAACCCCCAAAAAGCACCAAAAGGATCCAAAAGGTATAGTGTTCCAGAGATAAAAGATCGCCAATATTTGCAAATCATATGGGAGGGAAAAGCTAAATGGTACGAAATTATGTCTATGTTTCCTACGGAATTAGCTGCGGAATGCAAAACTTAGAACGTCAGAACCCCCAAAAAGCACCAAAGGGTATACTGCTCCAGAGATAAAAGATCGCCAATATTTGCAAATCATTTGTGAGGGAAAAGCCAAATGGTACGAAATTATGCCTATGTTTCCTACGGAATTAGCTGCTGAATCCAACACTTCGAGCATCAGAACTCAGAACCCCCAAAAAGCACCAAAGGGTATACCGTTCCAGAGATAAAAGATCGCCAACGTTTGCAAATCATATGGGAGGGAAAAGCCAA